GAACGAATGAATTTCGAATAATCGGCTTTTGAAAAATATTCGAACGAACGAATATTATTCGATCTGTGATTTTCAGATTATTCGAATTCGAATATTCGAATGATGCTACATTTCAAAATTCGAATGAACAAATATTCGAATAAATGGGGTTGGTCGAATATTCGACTATTCGAATAATCGAATAATTACATATGGTCGAATATTCGACTATTCGAATAATCGAATAATCATACATGTCCGAATATTCGACTATTCGAATAATTCGAATAATTTAGCGGCTCAAACAATGCTGGTTTTTTCTTTGTTGCGGTTTGCGAAAAAAAACTCAATCGCTGTATTTGATCTAGATTTGTAGCTGTTAATGATATGTGTAGCAAGTGGTAGGATGACTGGGTTATTGTCGTTGGTCAGGGTTCCACCTGGAAAACAGAAGACTTTCACTCAAACATGTAGTTCAAGGTGTTCGTGGCCTTTTAAGATGGCTACTAAGCCTTATTTAGTAATCGTTTCAACCATTTATTCTTCCTTACAGAAGTTTCTTCCGAAGTTACACAGAACTTCTTCCCAAAGCTATAGATTTAACATGGAAGACCTTTTAGATTAGGTAGCTGTTTGTAATTTATTCGTAATGGTCAGCATTGCGTGTGTTCTAAGACTAGCACTGGGAGAGCACGAGGAAGGCCTACAGTAATAGTCAGTGAACCTCTGCTGTTGTCCCGAAAGTTTTGTCCGTTTTTTCAAACCACTATAGAACCACGCACAATAAAGGCCTGAATGAATCTCAACATGCATTCGATGCAGCTTTTCCCCCTCTTTCTTAAGGGTACATTTTCGAACCGCAATCTTGTATGCTTTCTTTGATAATTGCCAAAATTCACCATCCGTCAATTTTATCTGCTCAAAGTTAAGCTACTTTTTTAAATTTCATTCCAAAGTTCTAAATTTCATTCCAAAGTTTCGGAAAGGACTAAGTGTGGATCAAATAGAGCAATTCTCGGACTACAAGGTAATACTTTTAGATTCTCTCAAATTGCTGTTTTTAGCTTCAGAAACATTAATTCTTTGGAAGTTTCGATTTTTTTAAAGTCATGAAACACGCAACTGCAGCGAATACACGAAAACTTTCAACGCTTTTCCGAATTGAAATATGATTCTTATCAAACATTATTTATGCTACATAACCAGGTTTGATTTGCTTTGAAAAAGCAGCTTTTTGGAATTTCGGTCTTTTGAGTGGTAAACCTATCAAAAAGCCGCAGTTTTCACCAAACAAATAATTATAACGAACTTGGTAAACATGGATGTAATCTAAACTGGATACAATGTAGCCAAAGGCTTGCTCTACATAATAATTTCCAGCGCTCTTTGAAAACATCAGGATAAAAATTTTTCAAAACTCAGTAAAGGTTTGGAGTTACTTCTGAGCTGCTCAGAAAGCCGTGGTGATAACATTGCAGAAGGCAGAATAGATCAGAGAGCAATTACAGCTGTAAGAAAGAAGATAAAAATATGTGTCAAATCGTACCTGAGTTGTCCATGCTTTGGTGTTCTGTGACTTCTAGTGAGCGATGGAAAAAAACGGACAAAACTTAAAGGCAGCGTCCAGGCAGATCTGGACCTATGGGGCTTTTACGTGGAAAGTACTTTTGGGGCCCTAGCTAAGGCACTGCCCAAGCGGCAGCTCAGGTAGTGCTCTAATGGCTGAGATATTCCCCTCGAAACTGGCCCCCGCGAACGTATTCGCATGGATTCATGGCAGTTTCGCGCCCGGATCCACGCTTTGCGCCATGAATCCATGCGAAACACGGTCGCGGGGTCCAGTTTCGAGGGGAATATCTCAGCCGTGACAGCACTACCTGAGCTGCCGCTAGGGCAGTGCCTTAGTTAGGGCCCCAAAAGTACTTTCCACGTAAAAGCCCCATAGGTGCAGATCTGCCTGGACGCTGCCTTTAAGGGACAACCCTAATACTTCTGTACTCATCTAAATGCAAAAAAAGGAGAAAACTCATGGAAATATTTGTATATCAGCTGATAACGTAATATTGTCGGGGATTCTCAATCACTGAGTTTCAGAGTTTCTGCTGTGCGACTGAATTCTCACAAAGCTGCTTTAGTTGTATTTTTGAGGTTTGTGCTTTTGTTGTAAGGAATCTTCCATATCTCTTACTCAGGTTCAAAATAATTAATGTTCAAACTACACGCCTACGCCTATTATTACTCTACGAACTTTGCAACATTCTAATACTAGTTTTTAAGACTATAAGGGTACCCAATTTGAACAACTAGTGACTGATATAAGGCTGCCGTCAAGTCAAGCGGCTCAGGTCCTCACGACCGCCTTGCTCTGGCCTTGCGCTGGAACGTAACTTTCAGGTATATTGACATGCGAGCGGTGATTGGGCTGGCAACGCAAGTGAAGATCTCGAGACGAGATCTCGAGACGAAGGAATGAATGCTGCCTATACCCGCTGCCTTAGGAGAGTGTTAATCCTTTATATGCTTATGCAAGCTGATTGAGGACCAGTGGTCTGCTAAAGGGCGCCTAATGACGGCTTTTCTTCCCCCAATTTAAAGCTTGGGGGTCCTTCCGCATGATATCGCATCTCAACTTCGCAGGTGCGATTTCGAGAAGATAGTGCACTCCAAATGAATTGTGAATAATACTTTCCATCACTATGCTCTGGCATAACTCGCGACTCATGCCCTAAAAAGGGAAGCTTGCTAGCCATTCTGTCATATGATAATTCATTTGTGTGATTGATCGATCGGGGACATACTTGTACTCAGTGTAGAACAGTTAAAGTTTTCTTTTGACATCGAATGTTCAAATGAATGCTCTTAAATATTCGAATATTCGAATGACTGTCTTTCAAATTGCTCGAATATTCGAATATTCGAATAATTGTCTTTCAAAATTCCTCGAATATTCGAATATTCGAATTACTGTCTTTTAAAATTCCTCGAATAAACGAATATTCGAATAATTCATTTTTCCAAATCATCGAATGAACGAATTATTCGAATACAGGCCTTTCTCATTTATTCGACTATTCGAATAATCGAATAATTGGACTTCCTCGAATATTCGACTATTCGAATATTCGAATAGTCGAATATTTCGAATAAATTATTCGAACACGAATATTCGGTTCTAACTATAATTGCGTGGAAGAACAACTTTTTCGTTTATGAGCCAAATTTAGATCCCAAAAATCCACGGAAAGGCTTTATCCTGCGAGACGAGTGCGATATAGGTCATCAGCATGGCAGAAAGGGCACGTTATTCATAATTAGCGGCATAGGAATCCACTGGCAAAGTTTGAGCAGATTCGGGATTTTTAGCCATCACGGTGTATGAAATGCCGGGAAATGGCGCTACCGTATAGATAAATGAATATGATTTTCATGAATATGATTGATTTATGATATATGTTTGGCGTGCCAAGTAAAGACAAGTTTGGCGCAAATCCGTGACTTTGACACCCTACAGTAATCCTACCCTAGCTCCATCAGATGACACTACGATGCGAAATAAGTGTGAATTTCGTGAACAGCGTTCAAAGTAACCCCTCTTGACAAAGTTTCAGCTATCATCGGCGACGATGATGCCTTTTTAGGGGGCGGGGCGCGGCCCCGTTGTTGTTTTTGGTTCTGGCCCCCCTTACTTGTGCTTGTACATTGGCGATAACCGCCCCAATAAACGCTCGCCCTCCAACTGTTTGTTTCGCCTCGAATCTACTGAACCACCAAACGTAAGTTTAACGCGGGTAAAAAAAACCCAAGAGTCTCGCACATACCCCAATATCAGCATTCAGTAGAATCCGCAACTTTCATTTTTTGGGTCAGCTAATGTGGAATAGTACCAATAGCTTAGACCGTTCAATCTATAAAGAAACATGCACAATAGGCGGTCATTTTCAGGACCATGAATATCCATTTTAAGCCAGTCAGCTAGAAACTGCTGTAAACAAGCGAGCGCTCCGATGACTCACTCCATTGCTTTAAGTGTATTGACTTGCACTTGGGTACTTTAGTGTGCATCGCCCTTGTGCAATACTGTAAACAGTCTATACTTACGAGGAAAGTATAACTGCCTGCATATGATTAGACCTCCCTCTTTATCAGATAGCTGACCCACATATTGAGACAATTGCTAAAGACATGCATTTTTTGGAAAACCTGCATTTTCGCGTTACAGGCATCGTCCAGGCAAATCTGGACCTATAGGGATTTCATGTGGAAAGTAATTTTGGGGCCCTAACTAAGGCACGCCCAAGCGGCAGCGCGGGTGACTCACTATGGAAAACGTTGCCAGAGTCAGAAACAAGAGTAAAAAAACAAGCTTAGGTGAATGTAGCGCGCGCAACTTACTGGACTTGTTGGCACCATTGCCAGCGCACTTCTACTCGAGATCGTGGATAGAAGTCATACTATCTTATTACTTCACTAATTTCTAGATTTTTTAACACGACCTAATTTAATCGAACTTTGCTTCATCCGCTTCGCTTACTATGGCCCTGATATATCAGATTGTTTCTCTTCGTCTTACGCTGCGCTCTCTTTCAATTTTCCTTCTTCTCTTCGGTCTACCCACCGTAGCTGCGGATCACCTTAAAAAGGAAGAAGAAACACGAAGTACGGTGGTGTGCCGTTGTTTTTTTTCCGAAAACAAAACTTTGTTTCCAGGTATCTCTAGTGTCACGCTCTGATTAGGGGCATTAACGAAAAAGCTCATCGAAAAGGAAGGTGTGAGCGAAATTTTGAATATTCCACTTCATTTCCAAAAACCATCATCTGTCGGCTACTCGATTGAATCAGGGCATTTGATTTTCGAATTCGAGCACTTTCATAGCACTATTTACAATTACGGAAATCCGCTGATAACCCTCGCTAATAAATCACAGGAATTCTTCATGCCTGTATATTTCTACTTCTCGGAAGGGTCAGGCATTTTTTACCTTCGCTCACTTACACTTTTCCCGTTTAGATGCGCAAAACCTTGCTCGACAGCTATTTACTTGACCAAGTAAAAGACAACTGCTATTGTATCATTTATAACGATAACAAAAGCAACGAGAAGTATGCAACGGCGCACAAGATGAGTGACAGTAATGGTACACATATGCTAAAACATTGCTTAACATTTCCATAGGAATACAAAATGCCTACAGCTACCAAGCCTACCACAGCTGGTAGCTGAGAACTGTACATCATATTAACAAAACATGCACAAAAATAGATATTTCTACACTACAACAATGTAAAACATGCCCACAACATACACAACATGCGAGTATGAGTATATAAAAATATGTGAGAGAAATACATTTTCGAAGCAATTTGACCAGATTGTAGCGACGTTCAACGGCGACAGCGACACTTAGCGAGCCGCTCGTTGGCCATACGAAGCTCTTTCCTCAGGTGATTGAGTTCTTCCTGAGCTTTTTCATAGTGCTGAAGCTTTGCCCGCAATCGAGTGAGTTCATTCTGGGCTTCTTCAAATTGCTTCTCCTTCAACGCTTGGAGCTGTTTGGCCTAGAATAAAAAATAAAATAGATAACAAAATAATAACAACTACAAACATTGACTTAAAAAATTATAAATTACCTTTGTACGACTTTTTCGCACGGCATCGTTATTTCTTTGTCGCTTCACTTTGTATGAAGTGTTGTTACGTTCTTGAGGAGTCTTCAGTCTGTATTTCCTGGCCGTTGTCGTTGGTGTATAGACATCTTCCCTTGGTTGGCCACGGCCTCGTTTGGCTGGTAGCGCATTAGAGGTGGATGGGGCCGCACCACCTGCAAATGTGTTATTGAAAAGAGAAAAAGCTAAGCGAAGTTGATGACTCATACGCTGAGTCACAGGACAACAACTCACTTTCCCAAGCCGGCTCTGTCTTGACGACCACGTTTTCCACAGAAGAAGGAGCCGTGGGAGCTGGTGTGAGCGGTTTTGGATCTAGAAGAAAAATTACTCAAATCTTATTTGACTGATTGAAAAGCCGACTTACCGTAATCCAACGGCACCATATGTTCATGTAGTCCAATATCGTGAGCGAATGGATCGTAGCTATCGTATGGCTGCATTTTATCATCTTGATATAGAATGTTGCATTTTTGCAATTCGTAATCGTCTAGGTCAATTTCTTCTGAAGGGACTCCAGTCTGTAAATCATGCACTTCGTGCCAACCATAAAATCAAATAAAGTAATTATTAGCTCACCGCTTGTGTTATATCCTCAAGGTAATCTTCGATATTCATTGTAGTTTCCAAAAAATTTAGAATCTCAGGGTCCCTTTCGCGATCACATTCTTGCAGAGTTGCTGCTCGGGCCAAAGAATCCTGCAAAACGATACATGGATATATCCATAAGCCCAATTTTCAGCTTTGCACATGAGCATTGTGACTCAAACGAAAGAACATGAATTAGAGCAGGAATTCTAGAAAAATGGTAAACGACAGTGAGAGTTCTTTTTGCGAAGAAGTAGTTCTAAAAAATAAAACTACTTTGTTCCCTCCTGTTCAGCTACTCAAGAAAATCGAGAAAAATATTCATAACTAGACTGCTACGGTTGGCAGATTCAATTACCACCAGCGCATACTTAGTACGTTTTCTATGCTGACCCCGGCTGGCACTCTCCGTCACGAGGTTTCCCAGGTGTGCCACATACTCTCCCTCAATACGTCTAGCCGAGGTTGTTTATATGCAGGGAGCGCTATTTTTACTTGGCTAAGCGATCAAAGTTCTAGTAACAAGGGTTGAGAGGAAAGCATCAAAGAGCTGCAGGCAACGGCGAAGAAAAAGAAAACGGAATATACGAAAGGGTTTTGAAAAAAGATTAAAAAAATTATAGTGTATTCAAACACCATACCTGTCTTTCAAAAATACGAGCATCGACATTGGGAGCGACCATCTCAGTGTGCGTGTCTAGCTCTTCTGAAGGGTCGTATTCGTGATGGAAAACACCTGGTCTCTAAAATGATGACAATCAAGCAAAGTCACGTCACACATCACAAATCAGCTGATCAACGAAGACAACGTAAAACAGGTGTCAGGTGTACACATAAACATCGAAAACATCGAAAATTGACCGTACCTCTCCGTTAATCATATGCGCCTGGTCGGTAGGTATACGAGAATCCATCTGACTGATATGCGGCTCTTCTGATTGACTGAATACTTTCGGCTCATGGAGCGTCATTATCTGCAAATGAAAATAGAGGCTAAGACGAGGATAAGGGATAACGGCTCGATCACGTGAAATCCTCGACAACACCACACCATAAAACATGAAAAAAGATCTCCGACATAAATTCACATTTTCAAAATTTTGAACGCTAATGGGTCCTGCAGAGTAGAGACTAGCAACGCACCTCTTACGAAATCGCTCTGAAGCAGAAGAGAAGTAAGGGATCGGCCATACTATTCCTGCTATTCCTACGACTCCTGCGATTCCTGCGATTCCTGTGAGTCCCGCACAGTTTATACGCCGTTTAAATGAGTGCGTGTTGCGTGTTACGTGTTGTTTTACGCAACACGCACTCATTTAAGCGGCGTCGAAACTGTGCGGGACTCACAGGACTCGCAGGAATCGCAGGAGTCGTAGGAATAGCAGGAATAGTATGGCCGATCCCTAAAATGAGCGAGTTAGGCCATGTGTACCACCACTGCCATGGCGATTGCGAAATAGCGCACAACGATGAGTCAGCTCTGCTGCGCCCCGCCCCCTGCGGCCCCGACCAATCCGGCGCCCGCCGTGACGTCACACAGAAGGGTCGCGAACAAGGCACGGGCGGGGCCCCGGCTTCGGCCACGTCTGCGTCCTTGCCGCTGCTGAGCATCAACGATCTGCGACACTAGCCGTTGCATCATGGACAACAGCGGGCCTCGCTCAGAGATCACCGCGTAGGGGACGACAATATTCGAGGAGGGGAAGAAAACGGCAAAATAGAGGGAGGGGGTCGTAAAAAGCTTGTTCTTTGGACTTCCAGTAATGAGTTTCCGGACGAACTCGAGTAAGGATTCGCCTGTATCGCGGGAAAATGTGGAAAACTAGTTTTTCTCAAACATTTTCTTGCCTCGCTCCATGTGCGGATGAATCATCGAATTAAAATCTCAATTGCTGACTATAAATCATGTTTAGAAGAAAAATGCGCGACCATACAGTTACTTGGAACTGAGACCTTCAACCTTTTCCTAGAAATCGTACATGAGTAGTGCTTGGGATAGATTTCTACGAAAAGTATCTACAAATAAGCCTACGATCAGTTTCAAAAACACGTCCAAAGTTCAACTACCGTTTATGACACAGCTGCCGCTATAACCATATAGCAATGCGTGACCGAAGGTCTCACGAATGGCTGGGTAAGGTCAGGTGACAAAGTCCCACCTGCAGCTCAATGAGGAAGGGCGAGGGGAGGGACGGGGGGGGGGGGAGTCAGCTGATTGCTGCCATTTGAACTGGAAAAAGCGAACAACTGGACAAGGAAAGCTACGCAACCGAATTAGATCACACAAATGAATCAAAAGTAAAGTTTGCTCATTTCTCAGATCTCTCTACTACGATCAGAAATGAGCAAACTTTACTTTTAATTTATTTATGCGATCTAATTCGGTATAGTATAGATGGACGAGATAATTCATATAGCATCTTACGGTGCCAAAATATCTAGAACTTATATGTAGAGTTGTCGAACTTCCTTCAGAAACCTCAAGAGCAAAATAATGAGGTCCAAAAATGCTGATTTGCGAGATACAGTTGAAGCCGAAAATCAGATTCAGATTTGAAAGGAACGAAATTAACAACATGAGAGCGAGAAATTTTGAAAGGAAATGTAAGGGTCACTTCCTCGACATTCTTCTCAGTTTCTGTAAATGAAATTGAGCAATTAGCTTCGATTGTGTGGCAAACGAACCCACTTTTTAGCGTTTATTAAAGGTTCTTACTATGGCAAGTTGAGTTCACTGCTTTATGAAAAAAAAAGTAAAATCCGCGCATTACCAATTTTCCTGATTTACGGCAAGCACACGACCGTACGGCATATTATTCAGATAAATCTGTCAACAAGAGATTGGTTTATCTGCCAACCACAACAATAAATTCTCGATCCGATATGCTTCAAACTGGGATATAACCCAACCTATTGTGTTCTTTTACATTTGTTGATTTTGAGGTCTAGCCAATGAATTTGTTGGTGTATGGACAGCGAAGGTTTTAGCCACTAAATTTATTAATATAGAAATACGACGAAAATAACGACATGCTAACTTTGTGGAAGGAGAAGAGCAGTGAATAAGCAAATAGTAATTTAGAGGTTGCAAGTGAGATGTGTAGGCGCACTATCTACTCGATGACTACCGATAATACTTGACAGATAAATCAATTGACTAGTGTTCATGGTCTAAGGAATTAGCATGATTCTAGCTAATTTCATAGCACCTAATAATACACGGAATAAATTCAAATCACAACAATCATGAGAAAAAAATATGAATATTAAGTTGCCGTCAAAGTAGTGAGTGGAACAACTTCCTAACAATCTTCAAAGCATCTTTTTCCGCTTATAAAAATCTGAAGATGGATAAAAATGGACATGCACTCAGTTTTACAAATCCTCTCAGCTCTACCCACATACTACGAACCAAAGATAGTGCAAATGATAACAGCTGGATCCGTTTCTGTTTCTGCTCAAATGGTTATATGCGAAGCATTTGGTCAATTCTCATATACTAGTAAAATTTTTAAGATAAAAATTCATAGTTTCTGTTTTTGATCACGGAAATTTTTTGAAGGCCATCTCATTGGTCTCTCAAAATAATCGAGATCATGCGATGCCATAGAAACCAATGTCGCGCGTTTTCAGCATTAGTCATCGAAGGACAGGCGCAAAAAGGGTAGCTAAAAGGTGAGTCATGAATGTATTGGGAATATCCGTGCAAATCCGAGATTCATTACTCTGTAGGGCAACAGCGTTACGACTGATTACGATAGTCTAATAGTCCGTAAATAACTTTAAGATCTTCGCAATACGCTGTGAAAACAACTACACATAGTTTGCTTTAGCGCATAAAGCCGCTCAATCTAGGTTATAACACAACCGTCAACTCAGAGCTCAAACATCAGCAAAACGTCAACAACGCATTGGATCTGCTGATATAATTATAGAACATAGATCTACACAGGCAGAGCTGATTATCACTATAATGAAACTGAACAAATTCACGAGATGCTGGTCGTTGCTATTGTTACGAGGGGTAATGATAATTTATCATCGCAACATGTCATGATAGCTGTGATTAGAAAAAAGCTTCAATACACTGCTTAGCTTCGATAGGTACCAAAGGTACCCTAAAATCTGGCATAAAAGCCGCTTAGTTGATCATAAGTTAAGCAGTCAAGTCCGCTCAACAGATGAGTCCTTTTTTCTTAAAACTAGTCTAAAATCTTGTCACTTGAGTCCGACGTCTGTACCAAGCCCATCTTTAGACAATTTATCGTGGGAAGGTCCTATATGCCAGATTTTAGGGTAGCCCAAATGAACAAGCGATACAAGTAGTCGTGGATGGAGCTTCAGATTGGACTTACACCTTCCTCTCTTCCTAATTCACCTAATTTTTGATCAACATTATGGTATTCCATAGTGCAGTAAGGTTTTCTAACCTCATCAAATATATAATAAAGGGTCCGAACCATAGATTCGCTTAGTTTAATTTTAAGGTTCATAGAGCTTTCGGTCCAATAGCGGATTCTGATATAAAATTACAATGCTGATTGGGCCGCAGAAGGTAAGTCCACATTCTCCAGATAGATAAAAATTGAAGATTGATCGCAGCATAAGTTGTAGCCTAACCCACTTTGGGAAAGAAACGAATAGATTACAATTTTTGTAGCCCACTCATGGCACGCAAAGACTGAGTTCCATTGCGGCACTTTTTCGATGTCTCTCAGCGCAAGCACACTTTATTTCTCTAAGCGTTTGCTGTCTCTCCCAAACACAAACTTCCCCAATCAGAGGCAACGGCATCCACTCTCTGCGTTCGATGAATTGCCTATACTTCTTCCCCTTCAACTGCTAATCAAAATCTTTCAACGTCGTCAACGAAAGTTTCAAAGGTCTACAAGGAAGTAAACAAGAATTTATCGCATAACATTCGCAATATCATTCCTCCATTATCATGAAAGAAAACGTGTTTATTCATAGTTACATGCAAATGGCTACGCGTTCGCACACCTCAAAGCGCATGTTGATCACGTTTGTAATTCAATGCTTCTATCACAAGACTGGCGCTAGCCTAATAGTACAAATCGTCTAGTCTCTAGTCCAAATTCGTGCTTTCCGTGCTTCTGCGGCGAAGCGGTCGACGTCAGCTAATGCAGAACACGTAAAAGCATAGCAAAGATATGCAATGATAGTTTATCGGCTCAAATTAAACGTCACTGCTCTAATTCTCTTCATATGGTCGCACCTACATCAGAATTATAAACGAATAAAAAAAAATCAGAGTATAAAGTATTCATCGCACGCAGAGACAAGGAGCCACTGCGGACGCTGTCGGCGTCCCTCAGATCAAGGCACTCTCCATTCATGATACCCGTCGATGAAATGTCTATACGTTTCATTCCTTGCTTATGCGCGCGGATTGCTAGCAGTGAAACTTGATTGATAGTCTCACTGTACCAAATGGGTTTCTTGATCTACCGGTAGTTAGGAACATCCTTATAAAGTAAGGAAAAGTCGCCATGAACGCACAAGTGAGAGGGAGATAGTAGAAAATATGTAACATGTAACATGAACGGTCAGCTAACACAGCAAGAGCGTAGTTTCTGTAAGAAGAACAGATACGACGAATGACAAATGCGTTTGTGAAAGACACCGTCTTCTAGCAGTTGTTGATTCAGAATTTATAACAGACTAGCGGCCCTAAGGGCCGCTTGCAAGTATGCTAGGGTACATATAGTCATCACCACAATAACCTCTACGTTTTATACCTTTTTAGGGTTCTGGGCAACTGAAACCGAGTAATAAATGACTTTTGACTCTTCTGATTGTGAGAATCCTCTTTGCTGATTATTCGATACCTTTTGACTCTCTTCTAAAAATTTTCTTTGGGTCAAATGTTTGCACCAATCTCAACAGAGTCACCAAGCAGTCGACTCTCAAAGCGACGATGTAGTCTACACTCAGCTAAACACTCAGAAAGTACCTCAGTTCCCGAAAAATTCCGGCAGCGAAAACAAGCATTGTATTCTCATGCCTTATGCGTCGCCTATAAACCACTTTTTGCAAATACGTACTGCTCCGCGCCTTCAGAGCGGTATATGTGAGAGCTGCCCCACGATCCTGGAGAAGAATACTTCAAGAAAAACTTTCCTACAGGCCTCCTACAGAGCGGTAATCTGAGAAAATAGTGCCCTTCATACCCCTACAAATGATTTCGTATTCTGGGATAAGTCTGCCATACAATCCCCCCCCCCCCCTACAAATCGAATATTGCGGGGAAGCCTTTAAGCTGCTTACAGACGGAAAAATTGCCCTATGGTCCGCCCGCGGACGGTAATTAGTCATTAGAAGGAAATGCCCTATGGGCCGCTTACAGACCCTTATTTTGACAAGACTACACTGTGGGCTGCTTACAGACTGGTATTTTTCAAAAAAGATATTTTCAAAAAAGAACTGCTCATGTAGAATGATCCTACGAGCCGCTTACGGACCTTTTCCAGAAAAGGTTGCCCTATGGACGCACACAGACCGATATCAAGAAGAAATTGTCCTTCAAATCTTCAAACCAACTTTCAAAAATTGTCCTAAGAGAAGGCTGTCCTATCTATTATTGCAAGAAGCAGTCGCTCGCCCTATGTGTAGCAAGCTGGTATTTTGAAACAACAGAAGCTATGAGCTGCTTGAGACATATCTTTACGTAACTACCATCGATATATTAGAGAATATAACTGCCCTATGCGCCGCTGCAGAGTGGTAGTTATAGAAAGAAAATGCCCTATAGGCCACTAACAGACCGATGTTTTGAGAAGTTACTCACAGTCCCCTACAGACCGAGGTTTACAAGAACCCCCTTCCCCTTCCTCCGTCGTTCCTCTCCCAACAAACCCTACTGGAGAAAGAACCGTGCTGAGACTGCCCTAACAAGGGAAGTGTCAGAAGTCGCAGTGGCCTTTTGACATGGGATGGGTACCATCTTAAGCAGCTTTAAATGCTGATTCCAAAACAAACTTTCTTAGCTGCAGAACTGATCTGGGTCGCGAGTTATGGGCATTTTAAACATTAAATTTTACACTGTTTGAAGTACTCTGTGATCACGGGAGCCTTTCAATTGCTTGTTTAAGCACCACAGCATGACTTTGATGAAGGCGTAGGATTACGTTAAACATTGTTGGACTGTTTCATCTATGTTTGAGCCCGAAAAAATGTTCGCTTTGATTTTTGGCTATTCTCAGCGTTGTAAATTTCCCGCAAATTAAATTCAATAACTCTCGTCCTAGATTAGTTCTGCAGCTAAGAAAGGCTGCTTTGGAATCAGCATTTCAAGCTGCTTCAGATGATACTTATTTCATGTCAAAAGGCCACTGCGAGTTCTGACACTTCCCTTGTAAGACCGATATTCTGAGAAAAGGCTATCTTACCCTCCCCCCTCTTCCTTCCCCCACAGACCGATAATTACAGGAAGCCCTGCCCTATGGGGGATCAGCAGATATTCCAGATTACAGATCTACAGCCCCTACAAACTGTATTGCCCTACGAGGCACTCACGTATAATCTGCTCTATGGACAGCCAAAGACCGAAGTCTTGAGAAAGAAGCTGCCAGCTACTTATTGTTAGAGGCCTACACAATGGTATTTTGAGGAGGAACCGCCCTTGGAACCTATATACAACCAATATTTTGTGATAAAACTGCTCTATGGGCCACCTACAAACCATAATTTGAGAAAGGACTGCCTTATGGGATTTTACAGACCAATATTTCAAGAAAAATTGCTCTATGTGCCGCTGCAAATCGATAATTTCTAAAAGGAGCGGCCGAGCGGGGAGGGGGGGGGGCTTGCCAACGATAATTTGTAAAGAATCGCTCCATGGGCCTCTTGCAGCATTTTGGGAAATAACTGCTCTATGGGCGCTCACAGACCAATATATCAAGAATTGAGCTGGAAACCCTCAAACCAATATCTCGAAAAAAATTGCAGCCGTTCAAAGACCGATATTTGAGAAAGAGCGCTTTCCGAGTCCCTTATGAATTAGTCTTCTGAGAGAGAAAAAATAATTAGAACAGGTTACAGTATATCTACGCCTCATACAAACCAACTTTCACAAGTAACTCCTCTACGCGCCGCACACAGACCGACAATTTTAGGAGGTGCCCTAGTCGCTTATACATCAGCATTTTGAGAAACAAGTACGAGCCTAAAAAGTGCCTGATGAGAAGCTTATGGAACGATAATTGTATGACGATTCTACGAGCCCTTCCGCTCCTCTTCAAATTCATATCTGAAAAAAGCGCATTATGGTCCACCTTTAGAACTATAAATATGAAAATGAAATGTTCCCCTTGCGGACCGATACTTTGAGAAGGAACCACCCTACAAATAACCGCTAACTGGATAATTGTCGAAAAAACTCCTCAGGGGAGCTTACAGATCAATATTTTTAGTAGAACTGCCTTACTGGCACCTACAAATTAAGAAAGAGCCCTATGAACAGATTAAGCATTGAAAGATATGCCCAATGAACAGCGAACAGACTGGAGTTGTGAGAAATGATTGCAGAGACCTATAAGAATAGCCTTACGACTTACCAACTTATTTCAAGAACAGAGAACTGTCCTCATCAATTCTCACCAACTATGCCAGCTATGAACTTTAACTAATTATGGGCAGCCAAGAACTTAAGCAGGAAAATGAAAATGTGAGCAGTCGAAGGGTAAACGTTGAGGAACTATTAAAGCATGTCTACGCTAGACAGCGAGTTCCGAATCATTCATACCGGCAGAGTTCAAACTTGCGAAAGAAGGGGGGGGGTACTGTTAGCAACCTTACGAGAGTGTCGGCCCCTTCCCAACTATAGCCTTTTTGCACTTAAGAACCGCACCCCTTTTGGACGCCTTCCTCGAGGAGACACGATATTTACCACCCCCTGTACCCCTACGAAAACACGCTAGCCTTGTAGACAATCTGCACCCTCCGCACCCTCGGCAATCACTCGCCTCAGTCCGCAACTTGTCAACATGTAAGTGCAAAACCTTGCCATTCTTTATTATAGAAAATGATATTGAGAGAAATAGTCGCTCTGACGGAACATGTACGTGGAATTGACGCTCAGGGCAGACGCAAGAACAATAATTCTCAACTGATAAATAGAAAAAACTGATAAGCAGTTTATGCAGTTCTACCGCACCTACACTTCGAAATGATAACAAGTTCGCTGTGTAGCTGAATATCAAGCGTTTCTCAACGCGAATTACACCGCGCACACACAAGCTAGTTGTTTAGAAAGATGATTATAAATACTGATGAATTTCCATGGTATAGACGACACTGATAGAATTGTAGATACCCATCACATAATGTGGCAAAAAATGCATTTTCGGTTACAAAGTTAGTAAAACTTGGAACGACGTGAGACCAAATTATTGACAAGTGTAGCAATGTGGAGCAAAAGTTAAAATCATCGTAGGAGTTCAAGTATGATAAGAAAAATTGATTCTGATAGTACAGACAATAAAGGCTCGTTTTGAGAGAGCACGCGTCATATCTCGCTACTCTAGATAGCAGTATCACATATTTCTACTATAGACATTCCTAGCAGTGTCATACTAAATCTTCAGTACAACTTCACGACGCTTTCGTCGAGTTCATGAAAAGATAGACAACTGTGGCCGTTTCAGTGAGAATCCCCAGAGGATCATACGAAAGACTGGAAATCTCAGCTTGTATGGCAATGTTCGTCATCCATTATACTCAAGTATCAGAGTATGAGAAGCTTCATAAAATGAGATAGAAAAAGAAAAATACAAAAATCTAGAGTAACTAAATATGACGTTGTCACCTGTCAGATCCCCTCCCCTCTCTAGCCCGGATGATCAAAAAGTATTTCAAAAAGATTCATCATATAGAGTCGCTACCCTTGCAGCTAGCACTAAAGAAGAGTGGTTTATGACCAGCATCGTGTATCGCAAAATATGTTTTCTGCGCTTATCACCCAACATAACGTGATCAAAACCGTCAGAAGATGAGCTCATAGAACGATATTGGAAACAAAGGACAAGAGCGAGATAGGAAAACTTGCACAATGAGAAAAGCAAAAAACAATTTTTCAGGGAAATGGCGAAGCCAGTTAAATCTACTAACTTGCATCGGACGTGATACAGAAAGACAGTGGGCAACAAGACAAACCAAAAAAAAACAATTTTTGCACCAGTAGTATGAGCTGAAAAAAATCGGATGATGCATATTCAGGAGCGATGAGTAAGCTTTTCAGCTTGCAAGATGGATTACGGGGAAGAGCGACGAAACCGGAACATTCTCATTTTACAGTTTTGAGAGATATGGAATAAAAGTTACATACAATAACGAAGGCTTATAATAAGGGATGGTAAGCCCAACCAATCGAACAACGTAAAAAATAGAAACTTTATCAATACTTATCACATTTTTACCCGTATCAAAAAAGTAAATAACAACGTTGAAAAATCATACTAGATATTTGCGACCATAGAGTGCAGCTTTCTGTTCGAATGCAGGAGATCTTATAGGAGAATTAATTGTATAGAAAGGATTCATCGAGTACTTGATGTAAGTCTCGTACATTTCCTGTAAAAGATTTCTTGATTTTAGGGACTACAAATAATCTCGTACTGCGTAAAAGCTCTATTTTAAGCGTAGAAGGTCTAAGTCATTACAACCGATCAACAGCCATACCTGGAAAAACTGACGGATGCCCTCATCACAGCGTTGAGTATGAAGCATCAAAAATCGAATCCGACCAGCCGACACGAAAGCAGAAACGAACCACTCATTGAATTTGTCGACTAACTGAATATAACATGTTGCTGAAAGGCCTATAAACAAAAGAAAAACTGAGTCTTTTCTACACTTCAAAGAACTGATTTGGATAAATGTAGAGCGTACCAAACTGTACTGTCAGTATACCTCTGTTAGAATGATCGCTGAGCCTCTATTTCGCGAGGCTTGAGAGGACTATGCTCCTCATTTACAAAAAACACCTTCAGGGATAATCATTAGGAGCCACAAGAAGCTTGTCACGCATGAAGGAAGTCAGTGAGTTTGTCCATTGTTCACGCAGGATGTCGCAAAGTCTCAAATCAATTGAACAAATTTTGTTGTCAAACTTTTCAAAATCGCTCCAGGTATATGAAAGAACTTCTGATAGCAGACAAGCGTTTAACAGAGGATAGAAAACTGGGAAAGTTGATGCTCAAGCAATGGCGCCGACCTTTACTTTCACACAAAGCCCTGTACCCTCCCATGAAAGGTAGCGGCTTATTCGAACTCTGTTGGCAGACGTCTAACAAATCCTCTTCATGGATATTTAACGCTCTGCAACGTTCTGTCCTAGCATAAAATAACGGCATGAAACTTGAATCTTATAGTAGTTCATTTGGCTGTTGCGTCAACTAAGTGCGTTACAATGAGTCTCTTCGCCATAGCTACTTGACTATATCCTGCGCTGGACAAATACTCCGCGACCTAAAGTCCGTTCGAACAACTGGTGAAAAAGCGACAGCAATAATGAAGAATAAAATACTGCTAATACAAAAAGGAACTCTATGAAAAACAAAACTTCAGTGGGAATCACAAGGTTCACCCTCACCTTCAAATACATCTGATTGCTGGTTAGAGCTTGTTCGTCGACAATATCGAGAGCGGCATGAGCTATGAATTGGTTAAGATGTCTGCTAAATATGCCGGATTAGAATGAAGTTCCATAGCCTCTCTTTATACTAAATGCCTTTCCGATATCTACCTAGTGTTAGTAGCGTTATAATGAAAGATTACCTGTTCTCCATCTCCTTTGACTTCTTTTCAGTAATTGGAAAGTCCATTTCAAAAAGCGGCTGGTCATTATGTCCAACAATCACAAAATAGAAATTCTTGGGAGCTGCCATATTGTGCCTCTACCTGAAACTGATCATAATTAGCAGTGAGTTTATCACGTTACATAAACTATCATATTATCACTGAATAGAAAGCGAAGAGCGATTTAAAAAAACACAAAGATGCACATCCTATCCTATACCGAAGCAAAACAGTAAGTTATGACATTTGCGCAAAATGCCAATCTTACATTTGCAACAGCCTGGTAATTGAAGAGGTATGAATTTATTGAGTTTATATTATAAAAATTCGCAAGTATCGACGCCTTTTAATTTTTTAGGCGTGAAAATGCGGGGACTGTAATTACACAACATGTTTTTTTTTAACGTCTCGTTGGCCAATTCGTGTTCTGAATCGAACTTCTAGGCTAGAAAAGAGGGATAGCTATCTTATTTCGCATAGTTTTCTTTTTACTAAAAACCGAAGTTAATGCTCTTGAGGGAAGGAAGAAATCGCTCCGGATTTTCCTCTGGGGCAGAGGATTTCATCTGGAAAATGATAACATAAAAGAAAGTGTACAACGGTAAGCCTGGGCAGGTTTACAAAAGGTTGTATATTTGATCCCAAACCCAGGAGCAGAGTTGAGAGTCAAACTTATTGTTACAAATGGAAGTAGATCACTGAATGTGCAAGATCCACGGCGAACACTGAGGGACCCGTCATACTTCGCAGAAAAAAGCCCAAAAGCGCCCAAAAAGGTCCGGAAAAGTCCGAAAGCGTCAGAAAGAGCCGGAACGCAGAGACGAGCTTTTGGTAGAATTCTGTCTTTATCTTGATGTACACACGACTGAAAATGAACTAATCTTAGCGCCAAACGTGCGCTCGAGAAGGGGCGTTCTGGCTCTTTCTGGCATTTTTGGGCTTATTTGGGCTTTTTCGGGCTTTTTTGGGCTTTTCTCGAGAATGATGGATCCTTGAAAGTATCGTGAGATCGCCTAATGAGCCGAAACCAATCCTGTCAAGTCCAGTAGGTGCACTCTTTTGACTTGAATCGTTCTCCCTTTTCTCCCTATTTGTCCCGGTTTATAGATGGCATAGTGAATACAGTCTTTACAGTGGCGGACCGAAAGGGGGAGAACGGTCAGGAGGTACCATCGGAGTGAATTCGCAAAGTGACGCCTCACCACTTCAACTAATACAACAGCAGTCCTGCCGCGATGTTACTCAAGGCATCGAGTCGTGTATCTGCCCCCAGCCCCTGTTTTTGCCGCCGAGAATCTTAACCGGAAAGTTTCGTGGGCCCAAAAATTTGAACGCGGCGTGCGCGACGTACCGCCTGAAGTGCAGCCCCGAGAGGGAGGGGGGAGGGGGGGGGGGAGAGCGTCCCTCTCCCTCGAGAATGGGTCGCGAAATTTTTGAAATTTACACATGGGCTGTAAAAATGTGCAAGTAACTAGTTCATTCTTCTTAATAATCAAAATAATATTAATTTTTTTGAAAATTTAAATTGACCTTGTGAAAATTTTTTTTCGGGGCGTGTGAGCCGCAAAAATTTTGAGAAGCACCGAAATTTTCCGGAGTGCATGGCTAACGCATTAATTTGAAAAATTTTTTGCCTCAACCTCGGACGGAAATTCTGCTACTGCCACTAAGTCTTTATTGTGTATTAGTTGGCATACCCGGTACAGCCCGGTCTTACAAATCTTCAACAAATATCAACATGCCCTGGTTCCACGCTGCCAACTCCAGCCCGTGGTTCAAACTTTGCAAAAAATGATAAAATTGATAAAGGTAGTCGATGGTACTGATGATACTCAAAGTTATTTTGTTCGTAAACAGCATTCTCCAGCCCCATAGCTCAAACTTTGCAAAAACTCGATGTATTCGACAAAGGTAGTCGATAGCTTTGAAAACTGATGTGTGGTAATCAGCATACTTACCACTCCGCTGTGCAACTCCCAAACCCGTACAACTTTGCAAAAATCGATATCGATCGGTAACGAACGGTATGAACAATTACCCAATGATACGCTCAGAAACAAGGAACTCGGGTTAAATAGTTGCCATGTGAAGGAGGGTGTTCGGTCTTGTCACCCCATAATCTTTGTGGACTATCAACTCTAGCCGTTACACTTTTTCGAGACTGTTTTAAAACAAGGGGAGGTTGTAGGAAAATAGCGATACCTAGATTTATACGATTTATTTGCCTCTCATATTATTACAATATGTGGCACCCAAACAAATTGATCCATTCTTTCAACGTGAGTGATCTTGCTACTCTTTGCCGATTGCAAGTGCGAGCTTCTTCTGAAATTCATCTCTCCATCTCATCCTCGGTCGTCCTACTGGACGCTGTTGAAATGGTCGCCATTCCAATAGTTCTCTTGACCATTTTATCTTATTTCTGTTGGCGAGTTTCCAGTCATAAATCCTTTTCCTTTCCTTCGCGCAAGTCGCTAAATCTTTCGCTTTGGTGACGCCACGTAACCATGAATTCGTCTTCTTGTCTATTAGGCGACTGCCAACCATTCTCCGTTCTATTTGGAGTTCATCCTATACACGTCCCTCGACTGGTCGGTCATTTCGACCGCTCTTCTCCACCCTACCCGATGTCGAACTCCTTGATCCAGGAAGCCCCGGAACAGCAGGATCAAGAATGTTCCAACCCAACAATGACTGTGTACACATCGGAACAGTCAACGTGAGACGCGATATCTAGAGCAAGGAGAAATATGAAGAGGAGTTCTTTGCAGACGGAATTAGCAGTGACTGTATAGACTAATGAAAAGAGAAATGCTTCCTGTAAAGCTTTCGCAGTTTAAAACGCTTTTAAGGCACTACTTTCGCATTCGAAATCTGTGTTCATCGTTTTTGGTTTTGTTTCTTTTTGTTACTACTAATATTTGAAATTTCTATGTTTGTAGCACATGTTGTTGATGATTAATGCATAGGACATCCTATGTAATGAATGGAATAATGAATGGATAACGAAAAGTAGCCTATGACACCCGTCCGCTTGAACCGTATTGTGCAAAGTTTGGTCAGGATCGGTCAGAAATAAAATGTTTTTGGGAATACATATCCGTGCGTACGTACCTACGGGCAGACAGACATACAAACATACATTCAGCTTTGATTATTTATGTAGTTCACTCTCTGATGTTCCAAAAACTCAAAAAATTTGAAAGAAAAACATAACGCGAACACAGCACGAAGAAGCTCTAATCTAGGGTATTGTAGCGGTAGCAGTCTTTGTGAACTGATGGTTTCCCTTTTTTAGAAGTACACGTTTTTCTAAGATCCAGTTCCCCACCGCCAACGCAATCGAATGAGTTCAATTTCTGAGGTTCAAACAAAATCAGCTGAACGACGAGCCCCAAATATGGTTTAGCTGACTGACCTAGTGCCGACGTATCTTTCAAGAACCCGGGCGAGAGGAGAGGGATACATCAAGCGAAAGGGGCTCACCAACCTTTGACTTCCCCAAACGAGGAGACCAAAAATTATAATGTTGTGATCTGATGACAGCTAAAGGAAGAGTTTTGGTGTTGCTAACTGAATGGGTGGATGTAAATACAAGATCAGTAGCTGATACTGCGGGTGGGAAAGAGCAACTATGGGATCACAATTGTGGAAAATGGTAAAAGTCGATTATTGTGAACATCTAAGGACAAGAAGTCTATGCCGAAGTCCCCCAGACATTTTCGGGCGGGAGTGAACAGAGGTAGAGTATAAATTGCCTGAAGTGTCGTCATGGCTGGCACTAGAGCTCGAGCGGTAACCAACAACGAATTTTAAAGTTGAGGGGGAGCATGCTGACCAAATGGGGTACGGGTCAGGAGTCACGATTTTTCGCGAAGCGACGCGCCAACGCGACGTCAAGTAGTGCAAGACTCAGCTCAGTCAGTACTCCTGCCGCAATGTTAGTTACGGCATCCAGTCACGTATCTGCCTTCATCCCCCCCCCCCACCCCCTACCGTGGCGCCGTGTCACTTTAGCACGGAGAGTTTCTATAGGATATAAAATTGAGCGCGGCTAGTGGCCGCCGCTTGCAGTGTAACCCTGACCCGTAACCGACCAAATGTTGAGGCAGAGTTCACCCGCCGTCATGGGCGTACGCGCCCACAATAAACTCTTCTATTAGAAAAGCGAACCCTTCTACCTACGAAGTTGGTTTGTACGATGAATAAATTAGGGAAGAGTGAAAAGAATCGCAGAGGCGATTTTAATTAAGCCATGCTGCCGTGGTGCAAGATATCGGGTGCAAGAAAATATGCAAAAAACCAATTTTGTTTGCTAGACTACTGCAGTTTGAAAGGGCACAGTGATGAGGGGTCGAAGATCCAGGCAAACTTAGTAGTTCTTCTGCACGGATCGTTCTGGAACACAGCGGAGTTCACCCTCATTTACCCACTCGTTCGCCAAATTTCCTTTATTTCACTTCTTAGCTCGGTCCACGACTTTAGCTATGCTATTTTTCGTAAGCCTTCCTTTTGATTGATCTATTCGGTTTCGACTTCTGAATACCATCCAACACTACACTACGGTCATTTCGTTTGCTTAAAAAACTTGTAGAATTTCCGCCCTCAATGCTCTTTAGCTATGCTATTTTTCGTAAGCCTTCCTTTTGATTGATCTATTCGGGTTCGACTTATGAATATCATCCTACACTACACTACGGTCATTTCGCTGCTTAACCAACTTGTAGAAGTTCCGCCCTCAAGGCCATCTCGGTTGATGATTGGATCAGTGTTGCATGCCAAACACTGACTGAATGATATTCTTCACCAAAAACCCACTGAAATCTTCGACGTCGATGTTGTCACTAGCATCAGTCGGCAGAGGAGATTGAATTAGCCTGAACACTTTGTTTTATTGATAAAGTTGATGAAGTGGTTCAGTTGGATTTTATTTCTGAATCACTGGTCTTCTCGATCAATGTGAACGATGTGAAATTCAAAAGGTGTAAAACATGATAGATAGAACCGCTTTTAAAGGCGCATAATTATCGATTGAAAACTTTTTGCCATAAGAAAATAGCTTGTCATCCGCACCATGGCATCTTTTCTATGGTAATTCAGTTTCCTAACGTGTGCCACTCTGTGATAAGGAGCTATGGAGTCACTCTTTTCATTGCTTTGGCACTACTAGCATACTCTGCTGTCATTGTTATGATTGTCAATGATAAGTTGCCAACATTCGTTATTCCTAACGAGTCGATGGTAAGCCAAGATGCGTTTCCAAGATTTAAATGTAATTAAGTTATTTGCAAGTGCCATTGTCCATGGTTTTTCTCAATCTGATTTAAGAGAACAGAAATTCGAAAATATCTATTCCCCCTCCCCCACCCCACTTTGGTCAATAGCAGTGCTTTCTCATTTTACTATCTCGATCTTTTCCTCATTCTCTCATTCCAAATCATGCGAGTTGGTGCATAGCAGCATAAGTTACAGGCGATGTCAAAAACCTATTCCCTTTTGTGCAGTCCTCGATTTGCATGCACGCGCCGCAAATCCCGTGCGCCAATTGCGCGAGCGGACGGCAGGGCATTTTGCCAACTCTCAGAGACGTCATCGATCAAGGGTTGGCAAGGGCCCAAGCCGTACGCACGCGAACGGAGCGCTCAGCCTTGCGATGCGTACGCGTAAGAGCTACGGACTTGTGAGCTCCTCATTAACATGCACTGCATGAAAACTTCTCCAGAAAATATATAGAACCGCCTGCTCTATATATTAGTTTGTCAATAAGAATATATTATATTTGTTTTTAGCAGGTCACAGGTCAGATTACCTTTAAAAAGTCTGGACAAACTACATTTCCGATTCTCCGCAATGAGGGATTTTTAAGGGAGCGCTAACATATTCGACTCTTTCGACTTCTCTAAAGTGCAAAGTTCAATGTCTTTTCAACTTTTAGCTTTTTCTTCACTGAGCTAAGGTTAACACGTTTTGGACCACGAAATCGCGCGCGGCGAAAAGAGTGTACTTTCAGCCGTTAGCCTACAAAGGGACCTTATTCCGCAGCCTGTGGACCACATTTGTAATCAGCACGTCAGATAAACTCCATCCAAAGTGCTGAGTAAATTCGAAGTGTTTGAATTTTGTCGCTTGAGAGGGGGACTTCTATGTTTTCTTGAAAGATAGGAACAAGAACTCAGATTCTAATAGTATTCAAAAATATCTATGTTGTACACGGCACACATCAGTATTGAAACTACGGTTTTTCTCTTTGTTATCGAAGCAAAGGAAAGTTGCGACGTTGCACGCGTCGTTCGCGTCGCCGTACTTCGTTGCAACTGTTGTTCGATTTGTGCTCATATCTCCTAAACAAATATCGGCGGCACAACTCTACAGAGTCATTTGAAAAGTAGGAGGTTAGACCTTTGACTTAACAACTTTAGACTAAAAGGAAACCTCCTGCAAACGCCAGAAAGATCCCTCAAAGCAGCGTGCTGCACCATGTGCAGCACCGGTCCGAAACGTGTTGAAACCCTTTATGGCCGGGCATACAACACGCGGTTTGACCGCATGCGATTTTCCCGACAAGACAACTGTCACAGATCATCTGATGTCGATCATGTTGCAATTCGGTTTAACGGTTTTCCGGAGCATTAATCGCTGACCAGTTGCTCCAGGGGCACGCTTCCTCATCGGAATCGCCGTCATTTGGCCAACTCTCAGAGTATGCATCGCTGTCTTCGAGCAGCGAAGCGACCATGTCGCTAGATTGGACTTTTTTATGGTAGTTTTTTTTCGAAGATTAGGGCTGTATTCATGTTTAGGGTTCCAAGAACTAATCCAATTTTGTTAGCTTGCATTGTTTCTCTGTGATTTGATGCTTTCAATCTATTTACTAAGTTAGTCTATTCTCTTCAATTATGTTTACGTAAAAAGCTCGATTACGATTAATTAACTAGTCAATGATTTCGCTGAAATTTGGTCCCGGGGGAGTTATTCAATGGCTGGACGCGAAAACCAAACTCTTTCTGCATTTTGGGGCTTGTTCATGAAGTTACAGTAGCTATACTGCAGAGGGACAAAATCATGGAGTTGCCTGGTACTTTGTGCGGGGGTGTGGGGGGGGGGAGGTATCTGCCATGTTATCACGATTATTGCATTTGCTTTATCATAAAGTCTTTTCGTAAACATGGCGTTATTGCAGCGATTAAGCATGGAATTCGTAATCGGCACGCTAAAACCCCTCTAGGGAAAGTTTGAACTACTTGAAGCTTTGACGAATCTATAGCATACCTACTGTCCCGATGTCTCCATTTTGCGAAAGCAACACTATTTTGCGCGTCTGAGCGAAATTTACCATTTCAAAATATTGGGCCGCGAATGCTGGAATAGTGCTGCAAGTTCTTGCGGTTCTGCAGTTTTAATCGATTCTGGGATCAACTTGAGAACACAAATAGAAGCCTAGTTGAAATACAAAGTGGACGATTGTAAAAGAGCGTAAAACACAAACAAGAGGCACCACTTCGTTCAGCTCAGTCATTCAAGTACTTAGCAGCTACAAATGCGCTTAAAAAATCTTTGAAAAAAAGACGGAAGCGAAGAAATGCAGTTGCTAAAACTACGTATGGGACTCGCGCGGCAAACCATTTCCTCTGAACATAAGCGTAAATTCTTATGACCACACTTGCTCAAAAAAATCGGAGGGAAGTGGAAGTGGGTTTCGTCTGCGAGGTCCTAATTACACTTGGAATCACTTTCAATTTTTGTAGTCATTTTTATAAGTGCCATTGTCAAAAATTATTAGCTTGTCCCGAAAGTTCTGTCGTTTCATTTTTGAAGATTTGTAACCTTTTGCTGTCTCAACGGATATGCTTCTTTCTACATTAGGAAGAAGAAGTCGTCCTCCTTAAAGAGGTGTCTCGATGAGCTACAACTATACAATAACCGCAGAGATAAAAATGGAAAAAGAAGGCAACTTAAGCGTTGAACATTTTAAGTTAGGTCGTCAAAAGTCTGGAACGCTGCAGAAAAATCTGAGATTGCCAGTACCTAAGTTTCATGACCTACCCTTTGCACCAGGGGAAAAATTGTGCTGCTTGAACGTTTCAACGAAAAGTTATGACTTTTGAGTTTACATTAGAAAACGCCAAAATTGATTAATTTGTCACTTTCCCGAAAATCATAACTTTTTACAGACACATCCAAACAGCACAAACTTTTCGAAGCTGTAAAGAGTAGGTCAAAAAACCTATGTACTTACGTTTTCAGAATTTTTCGTAGCGCTACAGGTTTTTGGCGACCACTTAGAATGATAAAAGTTTATGTGGTCTCCTTTTTCCATTTTCATCTCTGCAGTCAGTGCGTATTAGAAGCTAGGAAGAAAAGTTTTCAAAAGCAAAAGACTTACTCTTTCAAATATAATTACGAAAATGCAAATCCGTTGAGGCAGCGCAAAGTTACAAATTTTAAGAAATGAAACGACAGAACTTTCGGGACAACCTAATATTTTGAAATCAGTTCAGCGATACCATTCTGTAAAGGGCTATCGCTGAACTAATTTAAAATTAATCAAGTTGTTTCGCATCTTCGAAAAAAGAGTAAACAACGAATTTTATCTTTTGAGTTTGCAATAAAGTCTGGTAAATTTATGATTCTACGACAATCTATCTTTCGTTCAACACTTCTTTCACACGAAAACGGTACACTTAGAAAGACGCTGTAATTTTGTCCATCTTTTCAACATTTTCAACACACATCAAATTCTCTATCGAAAAATATCAGCTCATCACGGACATTCGCATTGTTTTGAACCTAGTATTGCAAAGTAGATATTTGAGCAGCATCGAGCATGCGTCAAAAAGTCCATTATAATTTTAGGAACTATGAAAAAGGGAATGTTAGGTCTAAGGCATACCTTGCGTGGTTTTAGTCGGTGCGCAATGTGCAACTGCAAGAACTCTTCATAACTGGTCGTAAACGCATTTTGCTTGAGCCACCTTGCTGCATTTGGTACAGCTTACGAAACGCATACGCCCATGCACCTGAGAGCCGCAAAAGTAAAGACGGTTGGCCGCCGGGCATCATCGGGATCATACAGAATGCTGGAAAATGCGGCTTATACAGCTTCTCGCTCCTGGTCAGCATGCTCATAGTGAAGAAAGATTGAAATACTCACGGATAGGTTATACAGGGTGAAATTCAGATATCTGGAGCTTCAGCATATGAAACTTTCTTTCTAAGCTGCGATCACCTCCCCAGCAGGGATGTTAATGCATGCGGCCTTAAGTCTCATACTACAACCCTTACTCAACCCTGGTTATGATCTGCTCTTTCCACATTGGAAGTTCAACTTTGATTACTTCAAACAACCTTCATCACGACAATGAAATACAACATGTCACATGAAAAGTGTGATTCAACCTAGATAAGCACTCAAAACGAATATTTACTATATTTGACGTATGACTTATGCATCATTGTCACTTCTGCAGCTATGGCCTAAGATATACCTCCCGCATTTCGCGAAATTGCCACATCTTCACGACTTGGCGATTTGCTAGGTGTCTACATATTAGGCACACTTTCCTTTCTTCGAAGTCAACGAAAACCTTCCAAAGTTGTACTGAACATTGAACACAACGGTGCTAAACGTGTTACTTATAAGAGCAGATGAGTTTTTGAAAGATCGAATTTTTCGATAAAGCCCAACATTCGACTTGTGATTCATCGCAAAATTCATGACTCCAATACATCAGTTGTTCTTAACAGCAACATGCTTAGCACTGTTGGGCTAAATGAACAGTACAACTTTGAAAGGTTTTCGTTAACTTCGAGGAGAGAAAAATGATTTTGAAGAAAAGACGGTCGGCCATCGGTTATCGTCAGGGGATCACACAACAAGCCGGAAAATGCGGCTTGTCCAGCTTCTTGCTCCTGTCCAATATGTTCACAGTGAAGGATAGTAGGAATACTTACGGATAGGTAGACAACGTAAAATTCAGATTTTTAGAGCTTTAGGATATAAAGCTTTTCTTTTACGCTGCGATCTCTTCCCCCCCCCCTCTCAGCAGGGATGTTAATGCATGCCGCCCTTAAATACTATCTCCCTCCCTTACCCCTTCTGAAAGACATAACAATTCCAACACTTTCTGCGGGAATGCTCGCAACTCATTCTACCTCGTAGTTCATGAAGCAGCTGAATGCAATTCCTTTATAGCCAACTACAGGGACCAGCCGACCACGATGTCGGTGCTTGCATCTCTCCAGATTGCTCTTCAGCAATCTACCATCCCACGAGGGAGAGAGCTTGGTTGTTTCCATGTCGGATTGAATCTTGGTCTGACCTGGTCATACGGCGCCTCACACCACCTGCCCCTCGTCCCCCGCTTCAATAAGACTATCAATTGCCTATAATCGTAGGCATGATATAGAGGCACTACCATACCTTCGATAAATAGGGCCATGAACTGTGATTATCTTCATTCTGAGCTACATAAGGCAAGCAACAAATGGCCAGAAAGCAGAAAACAAATATAATGCTGCAATATTCCAGAGTACCCTGTCCTTACTCTGTTGGAATGTTTGCGATACAGAGGACGAACAATTTGACAGGATTTACCGTCTCTGCATAGACCTCGGTTTCGAAATGAATACCGACTTATGTTCTGCAACGACATACACAACCGCAGAGAGAACTACGAGAAGACGAAAAAAATTTGCGACAAAACATCATTGATATATCTTGCTCGTACATCAATGAATGAAGTTTCCAAGTTTCAAGCAGCTTCTACTAAAACTGTTCCTGTACAGAAACGCTCAACAGAACTAAACTGAAGGTTCATATAGTTCGCATGACTGCAGACATTTCTTACTGACCGTACGGCTACCCATAAGACAAATGTTCAAACGTGGCTGGGTTGCGGTTTTGACTCTTTCGATCATTATGAGTGCCGTTAGAATATAAAAGAAAAGAAGATGGTGGAAACATTTTCGTGAATGCATTGTTATCGACCAAAACCTTCTCTTGCATGAATCAGCACATCATATGCATTATGACAGCTTTTTCATTTGAGTTTCCTTACATATGGCACTCTATGATACATAAAGTCTATGCTATTTCGCATTTTATTGCCTTAACGATACATACATCTTTTACCATTGCTTAGGTCGAGCCTGGGATAGGCTCAGGCCTGTCTCCCAAGGGTTCGTAATAGAAGTGAGCGGGAGGGGGTAGTAATTAAGGGTAGCCAAAATCTTTTGATGATGGAAATGCCACAAAAGTAAAATATAAGCAGTAAGTGTCATGATGCTCACCAACTAAATCATGATAATTGCATGTTAATTTTCAATTCAAAAATTACTTCTTGCCTCACATCTACCATATGCTCACGATGGAGGCCCTACCGTCGAGACGTGCACAATTAGAAATGAGCGTGTCACAGACAGTGGCTCGCCAAAACCGAACATCCCGAAATTTTGACGAAAGGTTGCTTGCACCCCTAATATGAGAATAGAGCAGGTTCGAGCGCATAGCATGCTGCGTTTGTCTAGGAAAGCCCGTAACGCGCAAGCCAATCTAATACGCGCGGACGAACTTGCGATTCTCCCTGAGGGTGCCTTCATACCGCGCCGGCAGCCGCCGCTGGCAGCCCGTAGCAGCCGCTGGCAGCCCGTAGCAGCCGCCAGCAGCCCGCAGCCCGTAGCCGCCGCTGGCCGCTTTTGTCATAGAAGCCAAAATCATCAAACTTACCACTTTGAGTGCGCTCGCCCATGCTTTCCATCTCCCACGCTTCTTTCTTCTGTTGCCGCCAGTGTATAGTTCGAAAATGAAGAAGAAATACACATATTAAATTGTGTTCATTGTTTTGTTGCCGCATATTGCATCCTATCTGCGCCCACATTTCAATTACGCAATCTGTCTTGTGTAAAACGGTGTGCCATTGCCAAAATCAGAGGAACCCATACAGCGAATCAATCGGCGCTTGCGAAATAGCCCCGAAACCGATCGTGTAAAAAACAGTGGTTACCTTTCGGATTTTTTGGAATTCTTGGAATGTTCTTTCTCATTGTGGACTTATCTCTTTGTTTAGTATAATGCGATTCAGATGTTACGTAGATCCAAAATAGCTTGCCAAGTGCTAACTCACTTAGATTTTTGGCAGTAATTATTTACTAGATAGTGGATACAGCTTGTAGTGTACGTTAGCACATGATTCTTCTGAAAATTTTGGTCGGAGCCACACATAGCTTTGGTGCTTGTCGTAATCAGTTTCTGCAGGGCATACCTTCGATAGTCTAGAGACAGGGCGCCAAAAGTGAAGGTTGTTTGAACATCTGACGTCATAAATAGTGAAGGTTGTTCAAAGAAGATCAGAGAAGAAAAAATGACATAAAATAGATATTAAAAGCAAGAGAAACTGCTGAAAACCACATAAAAATGCTGCAATAAGGTTTGAAATCTTTCGTTTGGCGGCTTTTTAAAGTGCAAGTTTTCGCTTCAAGACCAGCAATTCGCAACACGGGGTTTTGATTTTTGATGCGTCCTTTGAATTTTTACCCTCGCGCCGTCCCTTTTGTACCCTGCGACGTTGTCTGGATTCTTCCGCTCATCATTCTGAGCAAGTATCGTCCAAGCTGGAGAAAATTCGTTGCGAAACCACTGAAAAAGAATAAGGTAAAGAAAAACGCATTTTTTTGTAATTTTCACAAAAAAAAACGGCATAAGCAGAGAAATAAGCTCGGCGACGTTGTCTACATTATAGACAGAAACAAGACCTATCGACTACACAAAAAAACTGCGTGAAAAGAGTCAAACTAGGAGAAAAACGAGAGATTTTCGAAAACAAGGTTTTTGCGGGATTTCTCGTTTAAATCATAAAAAGAAGTCTTGCGACGTTGTCAGCGTGAAAATAGAGATCAAGAGCTTCAAAATGATATATAGCTTGCTAAAATTGGGTTCGAAACAGCGAAGAAAAAAGTACCAGAGCCAAATGCCCCGCGCCCCGCGTTTGGGGTAGCGAGGTAGCGCGCAGCGCGCGGAGACGCAGACGAGCAGCGGAGACAGACCAGAGCCGGCGGGGCATTTGGCTCTGGTCATTGATCTCCGCGGGGTCATAACAAAACCCTATAATATTATATATCGTTGTGATCCTCATGAGACGGCCAGGAGCACTGACAACGTCGCAGGTCTTGAAAATCACTCCATAACGAGATAGACCAGCATTTATGTGGCGACTCTTTGCGCAAGATTTCAGCGCAGTTTCTCGTTTTTATTGAATTCCAGCGGCTTTCATGAACCTCCAACGCTCAATCGCAATCTACAGAAAGGTTAATTGATAAGTTTCATCCTAATTTCTAACTGAATTTTTGAAGAAAAACCTTCTTTTCAGCAAAAAAAGGCCATAAAAACGCGATCCTTCGGTTTTTTTGAGCTTTTTCTGGATGTCACTACTATATTTGCCTCATTCACATTCATCCTTACATAGTTAGTCATTAGTTATATCATAATATCCGGGCTTCGCCCCGGATGACTTTTGTATTCCTCTCCAGGTGAAGGTTGTGTCCTCTCATGACACTCAAAGTGAAGGTTACCAGAGTACGTGGCTCTATGTATCGAAGGTATGCTGCAGGGTGATTTCAGTAATTATACTCGAATACTAGGATCTATAGAAAGTTGTAACCATGGAATACGGACTCCCCTTCGTAGAAATAAGCCTTGACTTTACTTGATGCTTCTGAGAAAATTGTAAAAGAAGTCTGAAGGCAGAAATTTGAGCTCAGGATTGCAGTATTGTCAATGTCGGATTTGCTTCAGCAGCAAAAAGTCGAATTTTTTTCTCAATGCTCACGTCAAAAAGCATCCAGAAGGTAGACGAAACCCCGTCGCTTCCGATCCAGCTGAGAAACTGCAAAATTTCTTACTCAACGCAGGTTTGAGCTGTGGAGCGAAATACATGTGAAAGCATTTTCAAGGCAAAAAAGGAGATAATCAGTTCCTTTGAAGGTATGACACAGCTTGACTAAAGCAACTGTTTGGCGTTTTTAGATGTGTACCTACCTAAGAAAATTCGGGAGCTAAGAAGTGCTTTAATTAGTAAAAACTCCAGGTGGACCTATAATTTTGTCCAGCCTTCAAGCCTGCTTTTTTCAAAATTTTCATTTTTTTCTTGAAAAACCCAACGAAAACGAGCCATGTTTTGATGGCTAGTAGCAGGCTGGTAAACACACGGCTGTACCAAATTTTGGAACATTTTATTGTCAACAGAGTGAGTTATGGTACTTTTTAGAGTGGACCTATAATTTTGTCCAGCACTGTAGTAACCATTCACAAAGATGACCGCTGTCAGAAATTTCGTTCAGCAAATGGGTAAACAAAACGCGATCATCAATTTAGCATGAACGTTCATGAAAAACCAAAATTTCTGAAAGGATTCAAAATGATAAATTAATAATTTCTCACTGTATGCAGTTTTCCAAGAAAATAAAGCAAACCTGCAAGGAAAAAAGAAAGCTTATCCTCACGTTTTTCCTTCTGCAATCATCATGTTCATCGACCCCTTCTCAGGGACTCGCGCCGTGCGGGCGGCCAGCGATGACCTTACAATCGCTCGTCGGTGTGTGCTGTTGTACGGTCGTCAAGGGCCGATGGAACGGTTAACGTGGGGCGTCCGCACGGTCTCTAATGTTCGCCGCTTGCGCGGAGAAAGTCGGCCGCTCGCTTGCTCTTGGAGTAGATGCATTTGCGATATCTTGACAATTTTTCTTGGATAGATCAATCCTTTACACATTTTGGGAACACGAATCGATGCTTGCAGCATTGCTAAACTTTTCATGGGGAAGCCCTCACCATCACTCTTGATAACTGTAGCCTCACACAGGTTCATTCCATTCTTGCCGGTAAAAGAAAATGTTGATGACACGATGTGTCAACGCTTAGCCAGCCTAAACATTGCGTCGTATCTCACACAGGTATCATTTAGGGCCGCATGCACTAACCTCCCCGCGGGGAGGTTAGTGCATGCGGCCCTTACGCTCACAATGTGTGAAAATAATGAGCAGAAAATAGAGGTCACTGTTGGCCGCTTGCACGGCAACATGTAATGCCCACCGATAAGACGGACGCATTGCCGGCCGCTCGCTCGAACAACTGTATTGCATGCCGTTTGCATGGTAACATTGCCTGCCGCTAGGACGGCGCTTCAGCTGTTTGCCGCACGCACGGAGGCTTTAGGCTTATGTCGACCGCTTGTACGCTAGCCCTTATAGGAGGACCGCTCGTACGGCGCATCCCTGAGTTCGTACTGAAATCCGTGAGTTACTCACGAGCAATTCACGAGACTTTTTTGTGGTTCTCTACCTAGCAACTGTTTACGGCAGTTGACCTTCCAGTCCATCCTTAACTTACAGTAAGGCAGAGTCGCCCCGGCAAATGACGGAAAACATAGGAGAATGTGCGGTCGTCATCTAAACTGAAATGTGAAATTAGAGCTACAGGGGTGATATTTCGTTCTAGGGAGGGGGGGGGTTATTATGGGTCAATCTCATGTAATTTGTTCTTGACCTATGCTATAGGCTTCGCATCCCCGGCAAATAGTGGTTTCAAAACTGCTGTCAGAAGTTCCACTCAATAGTTTTTCATTGAAAGTGCTAATCTTTAGATCACTCTACAAGATTTACCCTAGCAAGGAAAATATCTACCTGAGAAAAGTCATGCTGACAAGGAAAGGATACCAACATTAGTCGGCGAT